GGGTGTGGAGGATCCATGCCCAAGAGGCTCCCACCGGGCCATGGCAGGGGAGATCGCCGAAAAAACAAGCTCGCGGCCAGATCTCGGAAAAAAAAGCGCGCGTGGGCACGTTCGCACGTCAGCGGCTGTGCCCCGGGCGGCGAGTCTGGCCCCCCCCCCCTCTGGCCCCCCCCAGGAGGACGGCGGAGGGGGAGCGATCTGGCGGCGGCGGCGGCTCGACACGCTGGCGCGTTAGGTCAGACGGAACCTAACAGCGGATCTGCACGTGGCATTCACGGGACCAGGTCCCGGTGCTACCCGTGCGCGCCTTTTTGCGCGCCCGGCCCAGTCCCCCGCCCAGGCGCCAATGCACCACCCGGCTCCGGCGGGCCGGCCGGGGGGGGTCGTCAAGCACGCGCTTGCTGGTACAATGGCGGTTATTGGGCCTCTTCGAGCGTCGGCCACCCGCACGAGGGTCAGGTAAGCTCCGCACCGGGGGCGGCGGGTACCGGCCGCGGGCCCAAGCGACGCCGGGAGCAGCAGGGCGGGGCCGAGTGTGCGCGCGCGCGCGCGCCAACGCCCTGCTGACGCCGGGCGCTCTTGGCGCGGAAAAAACGGCCCCGGGCTTATTCGAAAAGGCGCCCAAGCTGCCCGCCGGCCGCCTTGGGCAGCACGCGGCGGGGGCGGGGGCGGGGGCGGGGCATGGGGTCGCGCCGCTCGTCAATGCTAGTCTCTCCTTAATTGATTTTCCCGGCGGGCGGCTGGCTAGATCCGTCCGGCGCCCCTCCCCCCCCCCCTGGTCGCGCGGGCGCCGGCCCGAGGCGATCTGTGGTACGCCCCCGCTTCCTCCCGCGAGGCCGCGCCGGATGGCTGGAGGGGGGGAGGCCCGGGGCCCCGCCAGGCGGTCAGGTGGAGGCCTGGTGGTCTGTGGGTGAGCGGCCACCACGGCAGCACCCTCTCTCCCCCTCCCCCTTCCTTATCTTCCTTCTGTCTTGTCTGTGCCCGCGCTCCTCCCCCTCCGCCGCCGCCGCCGCCGCCACCACCACCACCACCACCGCCCCTCAGCCACCGTGTCGGACTTGCTTGTCTCCCCGCCCGCTGTCGTTGCTGCAGCCGGCCACCGCGCGGGCGTCACCTCCTCCCCGACTGGGTCCGCCACCGAGCCGCTGGTACGTTGTCCCGGCTGCTGCCATTGCCATGGGCCTGCGCGACTGACTCCCTGGCCTCCGGTGCATTGCGGCTTGGCGCTGGACGGCGCCGGCCGCGCAGATGGAACCATCCCCCCCGGCCCCTGCCGATGAGGCGTCCCCGGCGGCGGTGGCGGTGCCCCACGCCAAGCCGGGTGCCGCCCCCGATGACCCGGATGCCGCCCTGGACGATCAGGAGGTCATCCGCAAGGCCATGCTCTCCTTCCTGGAGATCAAGAAGAACGTCATCCTCACGGAGCCGGATGAGGATGACCGCCCGAACCGGCGCGAGCCCTTTCCCTGCTTCTGCTCCTTCGATCCGGGTGCGCCGCAGCCGGCCGTGTGGCACTCTGTCGCATTTTGCTCCTCCTCCTCCTGCTGCTGCTGCTGCTGCTGCTGCTGCTGCTGCTTCTGGCGCTGGCGCCGGGTGCCCCTCCGCCTCCCTGTCCTCGGCCCTCGCTTTCGCTCCCCGGGGCCCGGCCACTGACCGCGCCGCCTTGTGACCCGTGCAGACCGCGACCCACGCGACGCCGCTTGTGGGTCCAGCTGCCTCAACCGGTCGGTGCAGATGGAGTGCTGGCCGAAGCTCTGTCCCACCGGGCAATACTGCCTCAATCAGCGCCTCTACCGCGGGGAGTACGCCTCGAAGGTGGAAGTCTTCCGCGCGCCGATGAAGGGCGTCGGTGTGCGGACCCTCTCGAGCCTGGTGCCGTGCGTGCCGCGAACATTTCTTCTGGGTTTTTTTTTCCTTCTTGCGAGGCGCAGCTCGGGGCGGGGGCTCTGCTGGCCGGCGACTGCCCGCGAGAGTGCGAGGGGGGAGGTAGCGGCGCCTGGCCTTCCCATTGACTGACCTCGCTCCGCCACGGCATTCAATACGGCGCCATGGGCCCCGCGGTCGGTTCCCCTGTGCTCTCCCCCCATGGGCCTGCAGTGGAGATCTCATCATGGAGTATGTCGGCGAGGTGGTCTCCAGACAGGCATTCACCCGGCGCATGAACACCTATGCCGTGGAGGGCCGGCGGCACTTTTACTTCATGTCCCTGAGTTCGGACCGGGTGCGTGGCCTTGGCGCCGGCTTCTGTCCTTCTTTCCGGGGGCGGGGGGGGGCTGAGGGGAGGGCGACCCCGAGGCACAAGGGGATCCCTCCATTCCCTCCCTCGGGGGAGGGGGGGGGGGGATGTCCTGTGCCTCCCCCCTCCCTGGCGCTTGCGTCCCGGACCTGCTGCGTGGCCGGGGCCGATTGCTGACACCATGCCTCCATCCAGATCATCGACGCTACCCGGCGCGGGTCCCTGTCGCGCTTCATCAACCACAGCTGCGAGCCGAACTGCATCATCGAGAAGTGGGACGTCCACGGGTACGGCACCTTTACAGGCACACGCACGCACGCACGCACGCACGCACGCACGCACGCACGCACGCACGCACGCACGCACGCTGTCCGGCTTTTTCGACTGACACCGGGCCCGGCCCCTTTGTGGTGCCCCCTGGGAATGGGCCCCCTCCTCGGGGCGCAGGGTCGTTCGCATCGGGATCTTTGCCATCAAGAACATTGCCCCCGGCGAGGAGCTCACATTCGACTATAAGCTGGAGCGCCACGGCCGGGCGCAGGTGTGCCACTGTGGCACGCCCAGCTGCCGCGGGGTCATCGGTGCCGCCGCCAGCAAGGGCAAGAGTGCGTGCTTGATGGGGGGGGGGAGGGAGGCCGAAGGCGGCAGAGGGTGCTGGGACTCGCTGCGTCCTCCCCTCCGGCGGCGGACTTCTGCTGGTGGTGATGGCCACTGGCGGCCATGCGGCCCAGATCCCACGGCCCCTTGTCCTCCCTCTTTGACCTTGCTCCCTCGCCCTCCCGCTCATGATCTCTGACTCGCATCTCGACGCGCCGCAGCCGACTCGGCCGACCAGTCGCAGGCCGCCTCCGCGGCCGGGTCGCCGCAACTCCCTGACTCGGCATCGGCCTACAATCACCCCCCCTCCAGCGATCTGGATCTCCTGGGCGGGGCCGAGTCGCCGGTGGATCCGGCCGGCCCGGCTGCCGGGGGGGGCGTGCCGCACGCCGCCGGTCGGCGCCCGTCCGACACCGGGCCGGATGCCGGGCCGGATCTCGACGCCGTGGACGGGGACTTTGACAATGACGCCGATCGCGCGGACATGGTGCGTACACATTGTGCCCCTTGCCCCTCCCCCCCCCCCCCTCTGGGGCTGGGCTCGTCGCCCCTTCTCACATTGGCCGGCTCCCTGCTGTGCACCCCGCCCCCTTCCGGGATGCGATAATAATCCCATCTCGCCTGCCTGCCTGCCTGTGCCCCGCGGCGGCGCCCCTCCCGGTGGCAGTATGACTTCCCGTTGAAGAATGAGTCGGACGTTCGGAAGCTCGTGTCGCGCCTGACCCGGGAACTGGACCGCGCGGAGAGCAACGCCGGGCCGGATTATGCGCTGGTGGTGGCGGCCCATCGGACGCTGGCCCGGCTGCGGGCAACCATCCGCGAGGCTCGCATGCCGGCCAACACCCTGGGCGGGCCGGCCGCCTCGTCGTCCATGGTCGGCGCCGGGGGGGCGGCCCTGCTGTCGGCCACCGGGGCCCTGGGACAGGAGGCTGCGCAAGCGCGGTCCCTGTTGCGGGTGTTTTTGGCACGCGGGGGCCTGCCGCCGTTGGCCCGGCTGCTGGAGCACCCGGCCATTGCCCAGCGCGAGCCGGGGGTGGTGCGCGATGCGGCCTTCGTCATCCGGCGGCTGCCGGTGGCTCGACGCACGGCGGCCGTGTCCCAAATCGAGGCGGCCCTGCTCCGGTGGACGGCGGGGCCCGACCGGCCGGCGGCCGCGGACTTGCGCGAGGTGGAGGCCCTGCTGCGCCAGGCGGCCGATCTGGTCAACGACTTCACCAGCCCGGTGCCGAGCATGGACCATTTGTCGGGAGCCGGTGGCGAGGCGGCCGAGGGCAGCAGCGGGGCCATGGGCGGGCCGAGCACCCCTCCGCCCCCGGCGGGGGGGCTTTCCTCGCCGGCACTTGCGTCGGTGGTCGGCGGGGGGGCCATCTCGCCGCTGTTGGCCGGCACGCCGGGCAGCCGCACGCGCGGTGGTGATTTCTCCGCGGCCGATGTGTCGGTCCCTGGCGGCCCGGCGTCGGAGCTCCTGCGGCAGGAGCGTGAGCGCGAGCGCGAGCGCGAACGCGAGAGGGAGCGCGAGCGTGAGCTTGGCCGCAACCTCTCGCTCTTCTCCGGCGACAGCTCCTCCAGTCACTTGGAGCTGAGCCCCTCGTTGGGGGGCGACCGTGGGGCGGGCCTGTCGCGGCTGGCGCGCGAGCGCGAGCGCGAGCGCGACCGCATTCGGGAGCGCGATCGTGATCGCGACCGCGACCGTGGCTCCCGGGACTTCTGGGAGCGTGGCCGCTCGGGCGGCGGCTTTCCGCACCACCATGCGGGTCCTTCGGCCGGGGACCGGGGCTTCTTCGAGCCCCCGCCAGCCGGGGGGCCGGAGCGCCGGGAGTGGGACCGTGACGGCATGAACTCGGGCCATGTGCACCCGCACATGCACCCCTCCCAGCAGCAGTACCACCACCACCAGCAGCAGCAGCAGCAGCAGCACCACCACCACCACCACCACCCATACTCCCACTCTCATCATCAGCCGCAGCAGCAGCCGCAGCAGCCGCAGCAGTATCCGGCACCGAGGTTGGGCGATTCTTTCGGCGGCATGCACGGGTCAGCCCCGGGCCCGGGCTCGAACGAGCCGTACTCCAAGCCCTTTGCCCCGGCGTATGGTCCGCATGGCGATCAGCATTCGCAGTATGTGGCCCACTCCGGCGCCTATCAGGGGCTCTACTCGGCCGGTGCAGCGCCGGCCGGGGCGAGCTCCTACCCCGGGGAGGCCGGTGGCTTTGAGTCGGCCCCCACCGGAACCCCCTACATCACGTCGGCCCCGTTGCCGGAGTCACCGCCGCCAGCTGGCGACTATCGTCCGGCCGGTGCCGACGACCATGACAAGGCGACTCGAGTCTTCCTGCAGAAGGTACACACATTGGATCTGTCTCTGTCTTCTTCTTTTCCCCCCCCCTTTTTTTCGGGCCCCGCACCTTTGGGCGTGGCCCCCGTTGGGGCCGGAACTGGCCGAGGGATTGCTGACAGGAGTTTGCCCCGCTGGGGTTTTTTTTTTTTTCCCGACACAGGTGTCGCACTATGTCATTCGGCTGATGAGCCGCTGCCGGGATCGGATGGACCGCGAGAAGTTCAAGCACCTCGCGCGCAAGGTGCGTCGTCCTGTCTCTTTGGCGGGTGTCTCCCCCCCCCCCCTTTCCTGCGGGGTCTGCCTTCTCCCTTGCCACGAGTGCCTGTCCTTGTCGTTTCCCTTTTTTTTTCCGGTTCCTTTGTCCTTCTCTCTTCATCTGGCTCCCCATCTCTCTCTCACACACACACACACATACACACGGAGGACAGATCACGCACGAGGTCGTCAACAAGGAGAAGTCCAACCGGCGCAAGCGCCTCGAGTGGAATGAGAGCTGCCAGAAGAAGGTCCGCAAGTTTGTGGTCAGCACGCTGGAGAAGAACCGGGTCATCAAGCCCGGGGCTTTCCCTTCCAGCTCGCGCCTTCGGCGGAAGGCCGCGGCCGGGAGCCGGGCGCGCCATGCGGCCGGCGAGTCGTCCTCCGCCGCCGCTTCGTCCGGGCCGGCCTCCTCGTCTCACCGGTCGCCGGAGAGCGTGTCCTTCTCGCCGGCCGACGAGGGGTTCGCCTGGGACCAGTCGCCGTCCATGGACGGGGAAGAGGAGGGCGCCGCCAGCGGCGGCGGCGGCGGAGTTGGCGGCGATGACCTGGACCTGTCGCTGGATGGAGACGCCTTCCGGTCGTCGCCGGCTGCCAGTGCCGACTCCCCACCCCCGGTGGCAATGTGACTGCGGTGCTGAAACCGGGCATGCGCGCATCCCTGTGCTTTGTCCCCTCTCTCTCTCTCTCTCTCTGTTGCCGGCTTCATGCCTCCTCTCTGTTTCCCTTGTAGAAGACCATCCATCATTCTCCTTGTACGGCATCTTGCCCTTCCTCTCGCTGCGAAGCGGCCGCTTTTCCCCTCCTGCCCCCTCCTGCGCATGTGCGTCGGGGGGGGGCAATATACTTGCCCTTGTGTCGGGTTTTTTCCGTGTGCGCCTCTTGGGCCCTGCTGTGGCCTCCGGCGGAGGCGGAGCGAGGGGAGGGGGGCTTTCTGCTTGGTCTCGGTCCACGCGTCAGGGGCAAAGTATGACACGGTGTATTGGAGGGGGGGGGGGGG